GTCGTCAGCATACTTAGCCGTGGCGTCCTTGTGCTGCTGGAGAAGTGTGTTGGCAGTGTCGTGCGCAGCTTGCTTTGCATCATATGAGTGCTGGAGGATAGTGTACTTCGCAAAGTCCTTGTCATACTGGTGGTGCACGCGAGCCCTGCGATCAGGGTTGTCGGTGTAGACCAGTGGGGAGGGCTGGGTGGGGGCTGGTCCCGAGGGGGCCGGTGGTGGGATGGGAGGTGCACGGGAGACTAGGCTTGAGCAACCGGTTGGGTTGGGTCGACTAACCCGACCCGAACCCGACTTTTTGATGGGTCGGGCCGACATTTGAGGAGGGTTGACCCGACCCGGCCGACAAAACCCGACCCGTCGGGTCGTCTTATTACCGTTCCTGCCCCTATGCCAACCCAACCCGACCCCGCCCGAAATCGGGTCAGATAGTACCCGACCTATTAAACACGGGTCGGGTTGTCATTTCTTGAACTCCGACCTGACTTGACCCGACCCGACCCGACCCGACCCGAACCCGACATCGGATAGAGCAAAGTCGGGCCGGGATCATGCTCAAGCCTAGGGGAGACATCAGCAGGACGCTCCGGGGGCTGCCCTGCGTCAGTGCCGAGGAGAATGTCGAGTAGGCAGTAGTCGTTGATGATCGCGGATTTGAGGACATTGGTGAGGCTCTGGGCAAAGGTAGCCCAGTTGACACGGACGGCGTTGTCGATGAGCTCGAGGACGTCGATGGTGGAGATATCGATGGCGAGTGCTTCGGTGATCATGGTGCGATTGCGGATGCTGCTGCTGGGGATGAGAGGAGAGGGGAGAAGGAGGAGGGAGGGGGGAAAATGTGGCTGCTTCTGCAGATGAGGCAGCTGCTACTGCTAGTGGGGGGACTAAGGGGAGTCGGAGGAGGTGGAGGGGGAGATGCGGCTGCTGCGGCTGATGAGGGGAATGGGGAGGAAGTGGAGGGCGGTGGAGGTTGTGGCTACGGCTGCTGAAGCTTATGGAGGGGAGAGAGGGAAGGAGGCAGAGGTTGGGGGAGGATGCGACTACTGCTGTTGGTGGGGAAGGAAGGGAGGAGGAGGGGGGGGAGAGAGGAAGGGGGAGGAGAAAAAAAAAAGCGGGTGCGCGGAGCGCAGCTCTTAAGTCACCGTAGGCGACTCAGGGTCGCCGGAGTGTGGCGCTGTGGCGAGGCGCGGGACGGCGTGATGGTGCGGGGGTGTTGGCGTGTTGACGCACGGGCCGATGCGAGCAACGTGCGTCAGCGTGGAGGACAGCCCGGCCGAGCGTCGCGTATTAGGCGGGGGCGCCGGGACTGTGGAAGGGGGAGGAGGTGACGGGAATTGCCGCGTTGGTAGCACGTGGCCAAAGCGGTGGAATGCGGCGGGCTGCCAAAGCGGTGGAACGCCACGACGAAAAGCAGCGGAATGCCGCGACGAAAATGCGGCGGGACGCTGTGACAAAGTGTCGTGACAAAATGCCGTGACGAAATGCGGCGAAGATGCCGCGAGGAAATGGGGCGAGATGCCGTGACAAAATGCGGCGAGATGGCGCGACGAAATGCGGCGAAGTGCCGCGACGAAATGTGGCGGAGGGAGGGCGCTTAAGGGCGCGGAGGGAGGGCGCTTAAGGGCGTGGGGGGAGGGTGCTTAAGGGCACGGGGGGAGGGCACTTAAGGGCACGGAGGGAGTATATAGGCTAAGGATCGAGTAAGGGAGAGGCGTGAGCCATAAGCTCTGAAACCATGTGAGAAACTGAAGGGATGATCATATTAGGAAAGGAGCGGGTATACATAGGTGAGGAGTAGGAGGGGAGTTTGGTTGGGAGGTGACCATGATTATTGGTGACCCCAATAAGTTGAGTTGGCCAACTTATTGGGGGTCCAATAATCCTAGCAAATATTATTGGTGGGTCCAATAATCTTGGTTGGGTTAATTGGGGGTTCCAATAATTGGGAGCCCAACCAATTTGGGAATCCAACAAGGTTAGGAACCCAACCCCCAACTTGGGTGTATACACCCTACAGGGGCTTAGGTACCTAAGACAATTAAACAATGTAGGTTAATAGAATGGGGAGAATATTCTAACATCTTGCTCAAGCCTACTTGCAAACATTCGTTTGGAATCAAATACCCCCCATGTGCTCTTTGACTTCCTTAGCCACCCACGTCCACAGCACATGATTCTCCTCACCCACGTCCACAGCACAGGATTCTCCTCGCCCATGTCCACAGCATAGGATTCTCCTCACCCAACCGTCATGCATGCATGCCCCCATCGAGATTCTCCTCCTGCCATGCCTACTCTTGTCAACACCCCATTCCCCCCACCACTCCTCGTCATCCCCACAGGAGGCTGTCCCACCTAAATCAGACGGGATCCATTCCTGACACCATCACATCACTTACTCACCTCACATCGCAGTAAGACGCTCTCATGGCAAACATTTCCTCACTGGAAACCTGTTCCTCGCTGGAAACCGGTTCCTCGATGGAAACTTGTTCCGTCAAACCTGCGCCTTGAAACCTCTCCATCCTCCTCCTCTACATCATTTGTCGTCCTCTTCTCCTTGCCCGGTTCGTAAGCATGCGTATAATACTTATGACCATTTGAGTTGCAGCTAGATACACCTTTCAGCAACACGTGTCGAAACGTATGCGACATGTGATGTGCACAGCAAATTTTATGCGTGTGAACAATGGGCGAAGGACCATTGCTCCTCGCATGCCTTAATTGCACACATGCACCCATGCTCCCTGCATGCTCCCTACCTGCTCCCTACATGCTCTCTGCATCCTCTCTGCATGCTCCCTGCATGCTCTCAACTTGCTCCTTCCATGCTCTCTATATTGCACATCCTCTTCACAAATTTCAACTCCTCGTTTCCCTGGCTGGTTCACATTCATCATTTACAATCAGCCCCATGGGACCTGCATGCCGTGGAACCAGCATGACATGGAACCTGGGAGCAAAATCCTGGAGAGCAATGTCCTGGAGAGCATGTAAGAAATAGAGTTGAAATGATTAATTAGGAAAGGAGCCCAAGGCTCTATAAGTACATGGCAAGGTGAGAGTGAATGGATGAAGGGGGAATTGGAGGGAATCCCCATTGGGATCTCCGGAATCTCCAATTGGGTAACTGGAGATTGGGGGGATCACAATTGGGTGAGGTTGGGATTTGAGTACCTCCCAACCCACTAGAACATTCATAACCTAAACTAGGATATAAACGTACAAATACAAAAGTGGTATTTGCAGTCTATTTCTAACACACCCCCATAGACTGCAAACCCGGTCAAGGAGCACATAGCCCCATGGAACGGAGAAGCCGATGGTGGTCAGCCTTGCCGAGAGCCTTGGTAAAGAGGTCGGCGAGGTTGCAATCTGAGGCGATGTACCGTACCGTCAGCTGGTCACTCTGAACAAGATCTCGGATGAGGAAATGACGAAGTTCGATGTGCTTGGTGCGAGAGTGGAACACTGGATCCTTGGTGAGGTGAATGCCACTCTGGTTGTCACACCACAGGGTGGGCGACTGCTGGGGGTAGCCTAACTCAGCGAGGAGAAAGGAGAGTCAGCGTGCCTCTTGAGCAGCCATTGTGCCTGCGTAGAGCTCGGCCTTGCAGGACGACAGGGAGACTGCAGAGGACCGAGTGGAGCGCCAGCTGATGACTCCGTTACCAAGGGTGAAGCAGTACCCTTGGGAGGAGCGTCTGTCAGTCTGGTCATCGGCCCATGAGGAGTCTGTGTATCCCTCGAGCTTGACTGGAGAGGTACCACCAAGAGTGAGGATGTGAGACTTGGTGGCTTGTAGATAGCGGAGGACCCTCTTGGCTGCAGACCAATGCGAGGTAGTGTAGCGTCCAGGGGAGACGTACCGAGAGAGGACACTAACCGGGTAAGCCAAGTCTGGTCGAGTGCACATCATAACATACATGAGTGAACCGACTAGCTCAGGGTACGGGTCCTTGCAGGCGTCAGGAGAAGGAGCTGGAGGGGCCGTGAGCTGATGCTGTAGTGGGAGTGGAGTGGAGACAGAGTTACTGGAGTCCATGTCGAACCGCTTGAGAAGGTTGTCGATGTAGGACTCCTGGGAGAGGGTGATCGTGCAAGCCTGGCGGTCACGAGTGATCTCCATCCCCAGGTAGTTCTTGAGGTCACCAAGATCCTTCATGTGAAGGGCGGAACTGAGAGCAGACTGGACAGCTGCCATGTCGGCTGGATCTCTGGCGGCTAGAATGAAGTCGTCGACGTAGACGAGGATGTAGAAGGGCTCGGAGGAGTGACGAACGAAGAGACTGGAATCTGAGGCAGAGGGATGGAAGTCAAGTGCGAGGAGGACTTCCTTCACCTTGTTGTGCCACTCACGAGGAGCCTGCTTGAGGCCATACACTGGGCGCTTCAGCTTCCACACTGTGTTGGCAGGGTAAGTGCCAGGAAACCCCGGTGGGCGTTCCATGTGAACATCCTCCTTGAGCTGGCCTTGGAGAAAGGCGGAGGAGGCGTCCATGGACTTGATCTCAAAGTTGCCGCGAGCGGCTATATCAAGAAGAGCGCGCACAGTCGGGAGCTTGGCCGTGGGCGAGAATGTTTCGAAGAAGTCGAGATACTCCTTCTGGGTGAAACCCTTCGCCACGTTTCGTGCCTTGAACAGTGGAGCTTCGCCTGGGAGTTGTTTGACTCAGAAGATCCATTTTCCGCCGACGATGTTGACACCGAAAGGGGGAACAACATCGTCAAAGCTGTTGTTGCGAATGAACGCCTCGTTCTCCACATCCATTGCTGCCTTCCACTCCTTCTTATAAGGCCCCGAGAGAGCTTCCTCTTTTGTGCGAGGAGTCGGAATGGTCGGGTTCTCGGTGAAGTTGAGGGAAGGGCAGTCAGTAATGTCTGGGAAGATGTGAGAGAGAAATTGGCAGACCGCGTGAAGGTCAAACAGCTCCTCATGCCTGTCCTCCAGAAGTGCACGGGGGGGAATACGGATGGAGGGGACATTGTTAGAATATACCATGCTATGCTAGTTGTGTATATTGTGTTTACATCCCTAGTTGGGTGTACACCTGTGTTGGGGTGTCAATCCAACCCAATTGTGGTTGGAGCCCCCAAACACAAGGACCACAATTGTGGGGGCACCACAAGTGGGTTGGCTAAACCACTGGTGGTACACCACACTTGGACCACCTCCAACTGGTGGTCAACCACATTTGGAAGGAGCCTCCCTCCCTTGTGATTGGTCCTAACCCCCCCTTCCCTTCCAACCTTCCCTTCCTAGCTCATCTCTCTCTTCCTATGTAATGCCTTTCCTTCATCAGTCTCCCAGTTGTCGATGCCATGGGTTTGGGTGAAGCCCTTGGCACAATACCGGGCCTTGTAGACCGGCTCCTCACCCGGCAGCTGCTTCACTCGGAACACCCAGAGGCCTTCAACAATGACGTCGTCAGGAGAGGGGACAATGTTAACGAATGAGGCATTGCGGATGAAGGCCTCGTATTCAGCAAAGATAGCCTGGATCCACTTGGCAGCATCGGGGCAGGTGATGGCCTCAAGGAAGTTGGACGGAGTGAATCTGGTGGGAGCGGTAGCGATGCCAAGGATAAGGAGGCCAAGGAAGCCCGGGTAGAGAGGCGTAAGGGAAGGTGTTTGTTGCTGAACGCCAATGAGCTCCTCATGGGAGTCCTCAATGAAGGGAAGGGAGGGTGGGGGTGGTGTTGGCCAACCCCATGGATGGCCTATGAGTGGGCCGTGAGAGCGAGTGTGGATGCGTGGGAGGATGAACGGAGAGGTGGTGCGGCGATGCCGATGAGGTTGCTGCAGTGGCTGCTGCTGCTGCTGCTGCTGCTGCTGTGGCTGCTGCTGGTGCTGCTGCTGCACCTCCTGCTGCGGCTGCTGTTGCTGCACTGCCTGCGGTTGCTGCTGCTGCTGCTGCTGCTGCTGCTGCTGCTGCTCCATCCGCTGATGTTGCTGCACCTGCTGCTGCTGCTGTTGCTGCTGCTGCTGCTGCTCCTTCTGCTGCTGCTGCTGCTGCTGCTGCTGCTGCTGCTGCTGCTGCTGCTGCTGCTGCTGCTGCTGGTGCTGGTGCGATGAGGCAGAGTGAGCAGGGGAGTCAGGGACAGCTGGGTCGTAAATGTCACCTGAGGAAGGAGGAGGGGGAGGAGCAGGATTTGGAGGAAGGAGGGGAGCCTGGGGAAGGAGTGGGGGAATGACAGCATCAGCCCAGGTGAGGGGGCGGGAGAGAGGAGGAAGGGGGTCGGAAGGCGGAACAGAATGATAGAACGGGATGCTCTCATCGAACACCACGTCACGGCTCCGTAGGAGGCGGCCTGAGGACGGGTGAAGGAAGAGGTAACCAGGGGCAGAGCGAGCGTGGCCAAGGTAGACACACTCAATGGCCTTGGAGGCGAGCTTTCCTGCCTGCCGAGAGCGGTCAGGTGGGGGGATGAGGACATATGCCTTGCAACCCCAGATACGGAGAATGGCAGCATCTGGCTTGGTGCTAGCCCAGAGCTCAGTGGGAGTGACAGACTGGCGTTGAGGATGTGGGTAAAGATTAGTAAGGAGAGCAGCATGGACAAGGGCATAGCCCCAAAGAGAAGGGGGCGTGGAGGCATGAGTGAGGAGGCAGCGGGCCGTCTTGGTGATCTCACGAATGCGACTCTCAGCAACACCGTTCTGCTGAGGGGAGTGGGGAAGGGTATGAGTCTGCTGGATGCCATGGGTTGAGCAGTAGGAGGAGAGGGTGCGGTTGAGAAACTCACCACCGCCGTCGGAATGGAGGCGGCGGATGGGGCGACCAAAGTGGACTCGACACTGCTCGGCCCAGGTAACGATGACAGCAGGGGCCCACCCCGCCCCTCCTCATGCCACGTGACCACTCGTGCAGGCACCTCCACTCTCCCCCCTCCCCTCCCTCTAGAGCCACCTTCCTCCAACTCCACCTCCTCCCCATGCTCTTGTCGCGCACTGTCCCACCCCGCTGTTCTCATCCACCACCGCCTTGGTCATATGAACTTTCCCACACTTCATAAAGCCATCTCCTCCCGCTTGCTTGAAGGTCTTCCCCCCACTCTTCCTCCCCTCCCGTCCTCTTCCGCTCCCCCATGCGCCACATGCATTCATGGAAAGCTCAAACAACAGCCTCACCTCAGTCATCCTTCCTTTGCTGCTGCCCCCCTTGACCTCGTCCACATGGACCTCTGGGGCCCTAACCCTTCCCCTTCCCGCCAAGGGCACCGGTACATGCTTGTCCTAGTCGACGACCACAGCAGGTACTCCTCGGTGTTCCTCCTCGGAGAATGTACTGACGAGAGCGAGGGCAAAGTGGGAGGCGATGAAGGAGGCGGCGAGTGGGGCCGTGGAGGAGGTCACAGTAGGTGGCAGAGGCGGGGAAGAGGGTAGTGATGCCAGCCTGTTGGAGTTCACGAATGGAGAGCAGGTTATGACGAAGGGAGGGAATGTGGAGACCAGTGACCACTCCAGAGGGGAAGGGGGGGCAGGGGAGGGTGGAGAGATGAGTGCAAGGGATGGAGAAGCTGGAATCAGCACCATGAACATTGGTGGGGAAAGGGAGGGAGGTGAGGGTGCCGGCGTCTTTGAGGGCAGTTTCAGTGGCACCACTATCGAGAACAAAGTCAATCGTGAGCGAGGAGGGAGCTGAAGACACGGGGTACTGGAAATCACTGGCATTAAAAACAGAGGGATACATGGAAGTGGAAGCAGGGGAAGAACGCATGAGCTCGCCTAGAAAGCTGGAGTGGGAGGCGGGAGCACTAGGGGAAGGAGAGCCCCAGAGGGGAAAGCCAGGAGGACCTGGTGTGGCTGTGGCAGCCATGGCGGCGGTGCCAAAGCCAAGCTGCTGCTGCTGCCATGCAGATGCTGCGGCTGCGGCTCCTGCAGCTGCGGCTGCAGCCTGACCACCAGAGCCCCACTGCTGCTGCTGCTGCAGCAGCTGCAGCTGCTGGAAGCGGCGAAACTGCTGCAGCTCCTGGGGAGTTATGGGGTCAGCGACAGAGGAGGAGGAGGAGGAGGAGGAGAGCTGAAGATGAGAGGGGAGAAAAGACGGAAGAGTTTTGACATCCTGGAGAGAGGGGCGGGGATCCATGGCAGACCAGCGTGGGGGTGTGCCAGTGTTGCCGCGCTCGAACCAGGCGTCATCATACGCCTTGAAGCAGGTCGCGGGGGGATGGTTGGTTTGGGTGCAGCGCTCACCCGCCCCGGGACCAAAACGGCGAAGATAGGAACATGGGGGGAGAGTGCCAGGGCGGCCACCACGGCTACCAGATGAGCCACCACTGCCTCCACCACCACCACTGCTGCCACCCTCGACCCCGCCACCACCGCCGCCGGCTCCGCTGCCCCCACAACCGCCACCTCCACCCCCTCCCTGAGGGTTGGTGCGGCCGCCACGTGGGCGCCCGCCACGACGCGGCTGTGTGACTGCAAGCTGGGGGTTTTGGGACTCGGTGGAGTTCAGGCCGGAGGGGGGGGTTGAGAGAAGGCGGGCCTCAGCGTCAATGATCCATTGGACCACAGTGTCAAGGGAGGCGCGGGGCTGAGCCTCAGTGAAGGCGATGACGCGCACTTCATATTGAGGGGAGAGGCCTTCGAGGAGACGGTAGATCTGAAGGTTGGGGGGGAGAGTAGTCTGGCGAGCCTCAAGGCGGGAGGCAAGGTCCAGGAGACGGCTGGTGTAGTCAACGGCGCCAGCACTGTGTTCGATCGTGATGCTGAAGTATTCCTTGAAGAGCGGTCCGACAGCATCGAAGTCGGTGCGTTCGAACATTGCCTCAAGCTCGAGCCAGATCTGGCGGGAGCCGATGCGACGTGCCTGGAAGTTGCGCATGAGCGCAGACGGGATGGCAAGGAGAAGGGCACCAGTAGCACGGCTGTCCGCCTCGAGCCAGGCGCGACGACGCTCAGCAAATCGTGCAGAGTCAGCGGCATAAGCGGCGGCGGTAGCGGCATGCTGGGTGCGGAGGGTTGCCGACCGCTCGTGTTCCTCCAACGCGATCAGGTAATCAGTATGGAGCACGAGGAACTCACGACGCTGAGTAAGGAAGAGCTGCTCAACTTCAGCGGTGGCAGCGCGAGTGCTGGTGCCAACGGGTACCATGGGGGGCGGAGGTTCCTCGCCGGGATGGGGAATGAGAGGGGGGGGATCGCCAGGGTGAGGCGGCGGGTCCCCAAGGTCACCCTCTGGGAGACCAAGCATGATGTCCAGGAGGCGGAACGGCAGGACATAAGCACTGCCGAGGACGCGGTGGAGGCTGCCGACGAAGGAATACCAGTTGGTTGCTGAGTTGTCGGCAGCGCGCACGAGATGATCGAGGGTCGAGACGTCGACGGGAGGGGGAAAGGATGCCATTGGTGACACGGAGTGGGAGGAAGGCGACGGCGGGTGGACCCGCGGTGGCCGGGAGGGAGCGGCGGCGGGTGGACCCGCGGCGGCTCAAAGAGGAGGGGAGGATGGGGATGGCTGTAGATACTGCTGCTGCTGCTGCTGCTGCTGCTGCTGCTGCTGCTGCTGCTGCTCCTTCTGCTGCTGCTGCTGCTGCTGCTGCTGCTGCTCCTTCTGCTGCTGCTGCTGCTGCTGTTGCTGCTGCTGCTGCTGACGCTGCTGCTGCTGCCACTGCTGCTGCTGCCGCTGTTGCTGCTGCTGCTGCTGCTGCTGCTCCTTCAGCTGCTGCTGCTGCTGCTGCTACTGCTGCTGGTGCTGCTGCTGCTGAGTCTGCTGCTCCTTCTGGTGCTGCTGCTGCTTCTGCTGCTGCTGCTATGGCTGCAGCAGTGGTAAGGCGGCGATGAGCAGGTGCAGGTGAGGAGGCAAAAGATGGGGAAAGATGGCAGTTAGCTGATGAAAATAGGACTTCGTGGAAATTTCAGTAGCACTTCGTGATCACATCCAGGAAAGTGTGCAGACTTCGGAAAGCGATATCTGACAATCCAAGCGATGAAACAGTCCGAAATTTTACGACGTTGTAGCTGACACCAAGAGCGTTCTTTTGCAAGTCGAATCACTCAATTCTGTCAACTATCGAGCGAGCTATGGCGTTTGGCGCATTGGGGGTTTTTGAAAATCCACCCAACAGAAAACTAGTTGAGAGGCGGTGGCTAGGAGTCTAGCAGCGGCGATGGAGGGGACGGCAATGAGGTGCACGTCGGAAGGGGACGGGGCGGAAGCGTGGGGAAGGATCGGGATTTAAAAGTTGGCGTGAGCCATTATTGCTCTATACCATGTTAGAAACAGAAAGGTTCAGTTTATTGATGAAGCAAAGGCATTACATAGGAAGAGAGAGATGAGCTAGGAAGGGAAGATTGGAAGGGAAAGGGGGGTTAGGACCAATCACAAGGGAGGGAGGATCCTTCCAAATGTGGTTGACCACCAGTTGGAGGTGGTCCAAGTGTGGTGTACCACCAGTGGTTTAGCCAACCCACTTGTGGTGCCCCCACAATTGTGGTCCTTGTGTTTGGGGGCTCCAACCACAATTGGGTTGGATTGACACCCCAACACAGGTGTACACCCAACTAGGGATGTAAACACAATATACACAACTAGCATAGCATGGTATATTCTAACAACTTCACACAATCCAATCAGTGGCTCCCTCCCACTTTTCGCCACCCATCTAACCACCTCGTGCCTCTACAAACCATTACGCACCCCAACCAACCAACTCAGCTCAGCTTCACGGAACCACTCTAGTAGCTATTTACATGAGGTGTTGGCATGAATAGCTAGTTTTCTCTGCTAAGACGGGTCTTCCTATTTATACCAGCGTGGTCCGCGCTGCCTTTACTAGAGTTAGGTAGAGTACTCCTATTATTTCATATAGCTTTATCCTCCAGTCGAATCCAAGGCACACTAGCTAGTTTTAGGTTGTCTCGCCCCTTGTCTTTGCTTATTCCAACCCGCAAGTGGTTGGAGCCCCTGAGCACCAAGTCCACACTTGTTGGGACCATGCAAGTGGCACCATTGGTGGTTGGTCTCCCAACCACTTTTTGGTTTCCCAAGTAATGGTTTGGCAACCCAACCACAATTGGGGCCTCCCATGGCAGTGTTCCCCCTTCCCTCTCAAGCCTCTCTAGAATCTTATGTATGCGTGTATTCTCACCGCCAAGCCAATACAATCGTTGAGTTTCTTTCATGGTATCGAGCCAACATGCTCCAATTTCCCCGCCCCAATCCTAGTCTACCCTCTCCCAATTGCTATCACAACCCCCAGCAAATCTCCCACTTCCTCCATCCCTACCGCCCTCCCCGCCATTAGAGATGTTGTTGTTTCTCTTTTTTTTTTTTGTTCCTAGATCGTGTTCCACCACCATGCCCTCTCCCTGCCGTCGCTCATCCATTTCGCACCGCACTTGCTGCTTGTTGCTCACCGCCAGCACGTTGCCAGCTCGCAGCTGGCAGCTTTCTGCCAGCTCGTCGCCAGCTTGCCGCCTGACTGCCAGCTTGCATACTCACCCGCTTGTCGCCAGCTCGTTGCTCGCTACTCGTCGCGAGCTCATCGTCAGCTTGCCACCAGCCACTTGCCGCCAGCTCGCCACCTTCCTGCCAGTTCACGCACTCACCCCCTTGTCGCCAGCCCGCCGCTTGCTGCTCCCCACCAGCTCGCCGCCTGCTTACAAGCTCGCCCATTCGCTTGACCGCCGCCAGCTTTGTCACCAGCCCACCGCTCGCTGCTCTCCACCAGCTCCTCACCAGCTCGCCGCCTACTTGCCATCCCGCTAGCTCTCCCGTTCATTTGCTCGTTGCTAGGTCGTCACTCACTACCTGCAGCCAGCTCACCACCTGCTTGCCAGCTAGCCCGCTAGCGCGCCAGCTGCCAGCCTGTCGCCAGAGCGCTCGCCACCACCCTGTCACCAGCGCGCCACCCGCCAGCTCGCCGCTTCGCCCGCTTGCCAGCCCACTGCTCCGCCCACTTGCTAGCCTGCCAGCTCACTCGCCCGCTCGCCATCAGCTCGCCAACTCGCTCGCTCGCCAGCTCTCTGTTAACCAGCCTAATCGTCTCCTCCCCACCCTGATCCCTCTACTCTCGTTCGCCACCGCCGCTGCTGACATCAGCCGCTGCACGTGTCGCACCAGTCAGCCGCTTCAGCTGCTGGCCACATCCACCGCTGTTGCTGCTCCTGTCCTCCGCCGCCGATGCCAATGTCAGCCACTGCGCCAACCAGCTGCCGCTGCCGCTGCTCAAGTCCCCTGCTGCCACCACTGCTGACATCCGCTGCCGCCGCCGCTACTCCAGTCCCTTCCTGCTGCCGTTGCCAGCTCAGCCACCGCCACCGACATCAGCTACTGCCACTCCTATACCAGTCAGCCAGTGCCCCTGCTTCCTCAAGCCGCCATCGCAAAAAGTGCAGCGTTTGCGGATCGTTGACGCCATTCAAAGTCGGCTGCAAAGTCGGAAATAGGCCCAATAGTTCTTTTCCTGCTTCATTTAACATAAATGGTTTGTGAGTCTTCCGCGAATGAGTTTTTCGCGAATGAGTTTTTCGCGAATGAGTTGTTTTGTAAATGTTACACCTTGATAACAATCTTGTTTTGATGGCTTATATTTCCATAGATAACCGGTTTGGGTACACTAAAACTTGTACAAATTTCATAACACCGAACAGGAGAAGCTGAAATGTTAAAATAGACAATTTTTGCGTTTATGATATTTTTATGATAGTAAACATACTTCTATTCCTAATTTGGGCTATCCCTTTGTAGAAACAGCAAGTGCAGAGTAAGGTATTGATCTTTTCAAGAGATGGTTTCATTTTGTTCCCTTCAAGATTCGAACTTGGGTCTTCCAGCTGTGCTACGTGCAAAAATAGGTACTCCAGAGGATTCTTCTTAGGGATAGAACTCGGTTCTTCACCTCCTTCAAGAAACTGTTACCAACTACGTTACGTGTATTGAAACAGGAAGACATCAAAGCATTAAAAAAAAAAAAAAAAAAAAAACAGCGCACATTCGCTGCTGGTTACACCACCCAGTATCCAACTGCTAATAAGGACGTAGTCCAGCAGAATCACCGTTCCGAATCCGGCTGGACGAAAGTTTGAAATACCAAACTGAACCAAATTTAATCGCAAATTACAGCGTATTCTAGCACGCGCGTAACCTGAAATCCAAAATTATTTGCTCAATATTTGTGTACATAGAAACATCCCCGATTCACAACATGAAGAGTATTTAGAAACACGCCCCAACCACACTCACACACACCCCTACCATACCTGCTCTTTGTTCCAACCAATCCCAACCCAATTTCCCCAACCAACTCAGCCCATGCACCTCGCCCAACCAATCGAAATCGGCCGAGCGATTCCAGCACGGCTAAATCCTGCTCAACCCCCTGCTCGCCCCAACCACCCAGCCCACCACGTTGCACACTTCACATGCCAGCAATCCAGGCCGGCACAGACTTCTGATCCTTCCTTATCTGCCCCCTAGCGCCCACTGATGTCTTTCAGCCAGACTTCTCTTACAGTATTATCCACCGGCAGTTCAATCTGTATCAGCTTCAGCTCCCCCTCTTGCCTTCGCACCCCCTTAGTGATTGGCTTCTTCGTCTGCCAGACTTTAACCAATTACTATCGTCGTTCTTGGTTTACCATAACATGAGTATGTCATTTCGCGATAGCTGTTATTTCTATCGTTTTAATCTCCTAATAAGTAGCTCGTAAGTGACTATTGTTGTTCACAATTGTCCTTATTGGCAGGTTCATGAGCTAATACGTCTTCAGGGGTTGAAGGCATTTGTTAACTGGAGTTTGTTAGAAAAAGACTGCAAATACCACTTTTGTATTTGTACTTTTATATCCTAGTTTAGGTTATGAATGTTCTAGTGGGTTGGGGTGTACTCACAAATCCCAACCTCACCCAATTGTGATCCCCCCAATCTCCAATTACCCAATTGGAGATTCCGGAGATCCCAATGGGGATTCCCTCGAATTCCCGCTTCATCCATTCACTCTCACCTTGCCATGTACTTATAGAGCCTTGGGCTCCTTTCCTAATCAATCATTTCAAATCTATTTCTTACATAGTATCAGAGCGACCTATCCGCACACGCGGATCAAGGTCCTAATCTGAACGTGCCCGCGCTACGCGCACTTCATCGTCGCGACATTCGTTTCGAGTCGTCGGAATTTCGACGTGCTCCACTCTGCAGTCGCGCCTCTCATCGTCGACCACCTTCGTGCTCGACCTCGTTGAATTTTTCATCTCTAAAGCGTTCACGCTTCTCGTCGTCGATTTCCTCCTCGGTTCTCCTTGGTCGAATCTCAATTTCGACCATCTCTTAAAACTCGTTCTCGAGTCTCCTCTTAGACCCCGCCAGAATAGGCGAACTCCCCTCGCGAAATCGCCTCCTCGAACGTCTCGCGTCAAGCAAGAGCACGTACACAGGTTAAAGCGGAGCGGAGCTGATTGCGGAGCTAGTTGCGGAGCCGGTTGCGGAGCTGGTTGCGAAGCTGTGTAGCTGCGGGACAGGGCCTGGGGGTGTGTGGGGGGGTGTGTGGGTCCGGGGTTAGACATAGGCTTAGATTCAGTTTCAAGTCGGCGTTTTAACGAATTTTCGCCGACGCCATTTCCTACTTAGCGGCATTTTGATATATCCGTCAGAGTGATTTTCAGCAATTCTCGTCGACCAATTTCCAGAAGTTCCACGCTGCACACCGACAATGGCTTACTCAACCACTTCACTCGCCAACCCGATCCCGCTCCTTCGTCTCGAGCCGGACGGCAATGCTCCAACTACAAGGCTTGGCGCTATGGTGTCGACAAACACCTCCTCAGTCGCGAGGTGAAGGGGCTCGAGCTCACCGACGTCCTTCTCAACATCGGTGACGGCAAAGAGCCTCCTAAACCCGAGAGGTCCGCCAATCCAGCTAATGCCGCCGCCGAAGCAGTTTATGCTGCTGCACTGCTCAAGTACAGGAATTGGGAGAAGGCCGATGGTGCGGTC